TCAGAGATGTTCTTCAACTCAACTCATATCCAAGGAACTTCATTGATAGAACGATTCACCAAATTGAAAACAAACAAAATACACCACAACAAAAACAACCATCAATAACGACGAATATAATACCGTACATTCCCGGCATATCTGAAAAAATAAAACGTGTTGGTGATAAGTTCCAAGTGAAAACTGTGTTCAAAACTGAAAATACAATGAGATCCATTCTAACTCAAACAAAACCAAAAAATGAAGAACAATCATCAAAAAATTGCATTTATAGTATACCTTGTGTTTGTGGAAAGTATTATACAGGTGAAACGAAGAGACCTCTCTCAGTAAGGACAAAAGAACACAAGTACAATATCAAGAAAAGACATATCGATAAATCGAAGCTAACTGAACATATCCTCACTGAAGATGGACAACATATGGCACAGTGGAATAATATCAAAATCATAGGAAAGGAAGATAACAAACAAAAAAGAAAAATAAAGGAATCCGCTTGCATTCTTCTAAACGGAGACAATAGCATTGCTTCCTGTTCAGTTGATATTGATAGAACATGGTATTCACTACTGAAAACTGAACATGAAAATGGTAGATTCAAGATCAATTAATGGAAACATCCTGTAACTCATTTGTAGACTAAAATCACTCATTCATATGCCAACATCAGTATGACATTGAAAAGTGTCAAACTATACGCAGCAAAAATTTCAAAGAAAAATAATTTGCATTTACATGTTGAGAACGGGAGCAGAATCGGTCCCGAAACGTCCGAAGATAAGTACAAATTCGATATTTTTTCAATATATCTATATTTCTTTCCTTCAAAAATTTTTTCAAACAAATTGTCACTGACAAGCTACTGGATTTTTCTTTTAGACTCCCTGATAGAAAAATTTGTTAAACGCAGTGACATTTTGGGGCAAATCATCTGATTTGTCCCTCTACAAATATATTGAAATAATACGAATACTTTTATTTTATAGAAACGAGGAGAGAAAATCCCAAAGAACCAAGTAAAATGAATGTACCACCTCCTCGATTAACCTACAGACAGTATATCACAATATTATCTAATATTGATTTCAATATTGATGCAACGTCTCATAAACGTTTCACTTCATAATATCATGTTGGATACTTCATAAGGACATTATCGCAATGTTATTTCATCAATATCAGAAAACTTAGTATAGGTAAATAAGTAAACAGGTAAACACAGTTCTGCTGTTCACTAATCACATAGCAAGACAGCTCTACACACATCCCGCACCAAATTCCTCAACTTCTAGGGAAACTTCGTGACAAGAACAAGATGAAGAAGATGAAAATGAACATGTATGCGGGTCGCTGGCGACTCGACGATTCTGAAAGTTATACCCGTCATTTCCAACTAGAAAAACTCAAATCGTCCAGATATCCGAGATGAGAGGAGAGAGAGACTTGTTAACTTTATTTCTGTGCAGCGAAAAGCAATATGTAGCGATCGTGATCTCTCATGTTTGAGACGTAATAACAAATTTGATGACATGCTCCGTGTGCCATGACAGAAATATAACATTGTGATCTGAAATTGTTCTTCTTGTTCTTTGCATGTCGTTCCAACCGGTCTATCGCTTGAATGTGTTTTGCGAATATCTCACATTTGATAATCTGAGGGCTTGATATGGAACTTTATTTCCGAGTCTGCGATAGGTACTCACTAAACATTAAAACATAACATAAACATAAATGTTATATTACATTGTTACTTCGTGATGTTATTCAGAGAGATGCTCAATGTCACAGATATGTTGTGGCAATGGGCTCTTCTGCCTCTTTTCAATATCACAATGTGATGTTAATGGTGAATATTATATAAATATATCCGGAGTTACATAAAATTGATGTTACTTCACAACGTACATTTATTGCTACTCAAAACATTTAAGAAATATTGTATATCAATATTCTAATTATTTTCTAGGAGCTTTTAGGTCATGTCTATTCTTTGCGCAATTTCATGCATAAAAAAATGCTATTACGAAACATTGAAAATTCCGAATAATTTCGGATATATGACATAGTACGTTGAAATATTCAAGTGACGTATTCCTGAGACAATATCAAGAAAAAATGTATATACAAACTTGTTTCCGGAAATGTTTCATTTCGGAGATACAGGGTGTTGAAATACAGGAAATAAATTATTTTTTGATGAAATTTCATTGGAGAAAAGTATTTTATTTCAACAAGACTTACCACATACTTAGTTTTGTGAAGTTCTCAACAACTTCACTTAATACCCAGGAGCTAAGTAACATGCATTGATATAGAAAATTGTAAATATCTCTAAAACGGTCACCTCCAGCGTTGTTGAGAAAGTGTACCTTTTTTACTTGGAAAAGATGTGAGAATGAGGTTTTTTCATAAAAAGTACCAAAAGTTCACTGCAAAAAATTTTAGGGCAATATGATATTAATAATGGCAGCGTACGCAACGCCCTCTAGATGTTACATGAAAATTAGTACTAAATTATGATTCTTCACGTCAAAGAAACCTGGGTGCCAAATTTCGTGCACATAACTTATTTTTTGCAAAAGGTATTTTCAGAAAGCAAACACAAAAGTTAAATTTCAACACCCTGTATCTCCGAAACGAAGCATTTCCGGACACAAGTTCATGTAGACTCTTTCCTTCAAATGTTCTCTGGAGTACATCACCTGAATATTTCAACGCATACTTATGTTAAATCCTGTATAAGTACAAATAAGAATACCGAATTTACCTTAAACCTTCATTATTATTTTTTTCAAAATATTTGAACAAATTGATCGAAATGAATGACAATTTATAGTGGTCTTCCCTATATCAAGTTGGCGTTATCAAATTTGAAATCCAGATACCATCTACAACTTATTTATTTCAAATATGGACCTGGATATTCATTCAATTTTTCGATAACTTTGGATATTCCAAAAGCTATGAGCTATCACAAATACTCATTTCCGAATGTTTCATTTACTGATTCAAATGGAATATTACAGAAGTTACAGAAAATAAATTCCATACTCGCATTTGAATGGCTATAATAACAACCTGAGGGGCCATTTATGGCAGGATTTTTTTTTAAATCGTTCGTACCTATAGAAAGGATAGGAAGGGGAGGTAGATGTTGGAATTATTTTAAACTTTTGGAGGTTATAAGTTCTTTGGAATACTTCCATCGGCAAAGAATTCCAAAGCTTTGCCGTTCTAAAGTCGGACGAGTTTGAGAGCGTTGTTCGACATATGTCAAGATCAACGACGGTAGGATGTGGTGACTTGGCCTGTCGAGTTTGTCTGACTAGTATTGCTACTGATGGAATCATTGCAGAAATTTCTGAGGAACATTTCTCGTAGAAATATATTGAGAAGAGTGGAAAGTTTCCGACTTTTCTACGATGTTATTGAGTGTGTCATCACCCACCAGGCGAATGGATTTTCTCTAGATGGAATCTATAAAAGCATCAGCATATGTTTGGCCGCTGAACTCCATATTGTGAGAACAATATTCTAAAACTGGCCGTATCGGTGCTTTGAAGATCATGAGAAGCTGTTGAGGTGTAATAAATAATATTCACGATAATCCATCGATTATCGTAATATGACTTTACGATACGAATATAGTACAATATTTTACCTACTACCGAAAAGCTAATTATTCAATCAAAAATATTCAATATTCCTTGAACTGACGATTCATTAGGAATATGTTACAAGCAAGCGTTGCAAGGGTTGGGCGTATATGGTTAGAGTGTATCTATAGGTCGCGTGCACGAAGACCGACCCTGGAGGCAAAATATTGAAACACAACCTCATTCTTCTGTGAATTATTGAAACACAACCTCACTTTTTTATTTGGTTACAAAGGAATCAAAAGGTTGAAAAAGTTTTTCACAATATTTTGGCATACGAATCGTGTTTCTTGCGTTATTCATTAATTCAAGCATGCCTTCGCATTGTGCTGTTGTACAATGCACAAAAAATGCAGCAAGAGACTAGGGAATATGATTTTTCAGGTAAATAGTAATCTCACATAGTTAGCATATGAAATGTTGTCATTCCTTATTAAAATTCCTTCTGCCTTCTGCCACTTCTGCAATACAAGCTAATACTGCTAATAGATTGAAAATGTCTACAACACACACGATCGTCAGCATGTCAGACCAGTCCTACCGATTGATTGCATGAATCCAATCTTCTTGCATTATTCTAGAAATTCCAGGTATATTTCTATTAGCTGATCCTATTGCAGAAGGAATTCCGATGAGAAATCAGAGAAATAACCAAATTTCAAAAATGAAAACTATGTGAGTGACTATAGTAGGTACTTACTTCTGAATCATAATGTACCATCCGGATTTCTTCATCTTCCGCTGCAGTTTTTGTGCATTTTACAACAGCACAATGTGATGGCATTAGCGAATTGATGAATAGCGGAAAAATACGATTCATATGCCAAAATAATTGTGGAAAACTATTTCGATCACTTGTAAACAAATATGTTTTGCCTCCAGGGTCGGTCATCTGACAGTTCTTGCACGCGACCTATTGTGTCCTCAGTTGTCACTCATTCGGCGAACTGTCAACATTGACGTGTCAATTTCAATTCGAAAAAAAATTCATCGGCATGAATTCGGATCAGGAAAGTTCAAATTCCGATATAGGAATTGCGGCGAGGGCGAATGCAGCAATCGAAACTTTAGTACCTGCTATATTCATGATGAATTACTTCACTATTGCGGTAAAATATCTCATCACAATTCTGAAATCAGTATCGTAATGTTTCTCATCACATATTGGTAGTAGGTAGAGTTGATTTTTTGTACGGAATGAGAATCCGAGATCTTGTGCAGCAGCATTCGCGATAGATCGGACATGATTTTTCAATGAAAAAAGTATTGCTGATGGAATTTCTCTATCTTTTCAGATTACTCGGATTCCGGAGGGCCATGCCGGTGACAGGCCGCCTCCTCAACATGACCACCGAGTTGTACCAAAAGGCGGACGGGGACCTCCTCAACACGTTCTTCGTGTCGCCCAGCGACAATTTGTGCTTCCACGGCAAATGTTCCTACTATTGCGACACGTCGCACGCCATCTGCGGGAATCCCGACGAACTTGAAGGGAGTTTCGCGGCTTTCCTGCCCTCCAGCAAAATCGCGCCCACTAAGGTGAGTGGTTCAGAAGCTAAAGGGTACCACGGATTTTTTGTTTTTTCAGTCGATGTATCTTGAAATTCCGACTTTTATCCCGAAATTTTGACTATTATCTCGAGATTTCGACTTCTATCTCGGAACTCCGACTTTGATCATAAAACTTCCTTCGCTTTGTTCTCGAAATTTCGACTTTTTTGTTCAAATTTCCACATTTCTCTCGAAATTTCTACTTTTTTTCTCGAAATTTCAGCTCTCATCTCGAAATTTCAACTATTCCCTTGAGATTTCCACTTCTGTCTCACAATATTGAGTTCTTCCGGAATTTTGACCTTCAATTCGAAATTTCAACTTTTATCTCGAAATTTCTACCTTTTTTCTCGAAATTTCTACTTTTTCATCAAAATTCCGAGATGAGAGCTGAAAAAGCATACGGCGACATTCTCAACACGTTCTTCGTGTCGCCCAGCGACAATTTGTGCTTCGACGGCAAATGTTCCTACTATTGCGACACGTCGCACGCCATCTGCGGGAATCCCGACGAACTCGAAGGGAGTTTCGCGGATTTTCTGCCCTCCAGCAAAATCGCCCCCACTAAGGTGAGTGTTTGTCGTTATTCCGTCTTCCATCCCGAAATCTACACTGAGGGAAAAAAATTGTAGCCGTTACTAAAAAATTAGTAACTACAGAAAAATTTTTTAGTACGATAGGGGACAGCAAGCATTAGTTGTTGCCATAACTTATTCTGTTTTTCTGGAAACGCTTATTTGCCTCTAATGAGAAGTTTAGTTGAGTAATCTACGACGTTGTTGTGGTAACTAATAAGCCTTTTTAAGGAATAATACCAAGTTTTATTTACCACAATCAAGATACATAGTTATGACAATTAGATTGTTAGTACTGTTTCAATATATGTTTGTTATCACAACAAATTATTCCAGTTGGAGCAATTACTCATTGATTCTGACGTTAATAGTGAGTGTGTTGTTGCAAATTAAATATTTAATTGTGACTGAAATGGAATCCAGTTACTATTAAAAGTGATTTAGTAACGTTTGAAATATTCTGGCAACTCAATAGTTTTATATCAATTAAAATCATGGCCCCATTCTGATAATAACAGTTTGTATGCCATTTTCCTTCCAATTTCCAATGGAATCGTGAACAGGAATACACCACACACCGAAAGTGCCACAGGCCACAGCTCAGCAAAAAGAGAGGGAATTATAAATATACACCGTGTACACGTGACGTCGGTTGGACGTTTCTCACCGTCGCCCGTCGTAAACTGAACTGAATTGTGAATAGGTACCTAAACGTGATAACTAGTGACGCACAGATAACGATGGTGAACTGCGAATTATTATTTTGCCAACCAAATGCCAAATGGCTCAGCGCGAAGTGCAAAAAAACACAAAACAGTGATTTGAAAACACACAGATCAGTGAACCATCAAGAACACGACGCTCCCGGCTACACTAGACAATTATTTTATTTATTTTGTCTATAAGCTCGACGACCGTGCGATCTATCCACTATCAAGATACAAGTTCAAATGATGAAACAGAAAGACAAAGAGATGCAAGATGCAATTTTTGCCGGTGGGTCCCGAAGAGACGCGAGGCGGTCCCGAACGACGCAGTGCAACTAAAATTATAAGTTATGGCTAAACAATTTCTGCTATGAATAATAATAAACCTTTTACGATAAATGTGTCATCAGTTGTGGCAAATAGTCAGCTGTTGTTAGTAACCCCAGAATGAGGTTTTTTAACCCCAATATGAAATTTTAATTGACTGAATAGACAACACTGTGATAATTCTGTCACAAATATTATTTTTATTGATGACAAATAATTGGCGAAAAATAGAAAAGTCATTTGTAGGAAATAAGGATACGTTGTCATTGTTAATAAAATTCCAAATATTTTTAATTATCGGTACTAAAAAAATTCCAACTAGACGTTTTAATTAACCATTTTTTCTCAGTGTACACTTTCATTTAGTAATTTCGACTTTAATCTCGAAATTTCGACTATTTTCTAGAGATGCCAACTTTTTTCTCGAAATTTCGACATTTACCACGAAATTAGTCTTATATATCTCGAAATTCCGACTATTATTCTGAAATTTCGACTTTTTTGTCGCTTCTTCAACTTTTTGTCAAAATTGCGACATTCATCTTGAAATTTTGACTGCTAAGTGATATTTCAAGAAATGAAATTATGGAAACATGTATCCCAACTTGCTTACTTTCCGAGGTACATGGTATTGATATTGCTATGGCATCTGCGGCTATCCCGACGAACTCAGAAGCTTAAAAGTGCCACAGATTTTTTGCTTCTTTAGTCGATCAAAATTATGACTTGTATCTAGAAGTTCCTACTTTTATCTCGAAATTTCGACTATTATCTCGGGATTTTGACTTCTATCTCGGATCTTCGACTTTTATCACAAAACTTCGTTATTCATCCCAAAATTTCCGCTTTGTCCTCGAAATTCCGACTTTTTTGTTCAAATCTCGACTTTTATCTCGAAATTTCTACTTTTTTTCCCTAAATCTCAGCTTCCACCTCGAAATTTCGACTTTTATCTCGAAATTTCGACTATTTTCTCGAGATCTTGACTTCTATCTCCGAATAATGGCTTTTATCCCGAAACTTTGTTATTCATCCCAAAATTTTCGCTTTGTCCTTGAAATTTCGACTTTTTCGTCTGAATTTCGACTTTCATCTCGAAATTTCCACTTTTTTCTCGATATTTCAGCTTCCATCTCGAAATTTCGACTATTATCTCAAGATTTCCCCTTCTATCTCGAAAATTTGACTTGTTCCGAAAATTTAACTTCAATCTCAAAATTTCAACTTTTAGCTCGAAATATTCACTTTTTGCTCGTAATATCAACTCTTTGCTCGAAATTGTGAGTTTGATTCGAAAAATTCTGACTACTATCCCAAATATTCCCACTTCCACCTCGAAATTCATACATTCATCCCGAAATTCCGACAATCTCCCAAGACTCCGATTTCTATCTCGAAATTCTGGCTTTCATCTCAAAATTTCGTTTTCCATCTCGAAATTTTCAATTTCTCCTTGAAATTCCGTCTTTTTTCTTCAAGTTTCGACTTTAATCTCGAAATTTCTACTTTTTTCCCGAAATTTTGACTCTTATCTCGAGATTACTACTTTCTTCTCGAAATTTCGAGACGGAATCTGAAAAGGCAGACGGTGAACTCCTCAACACGTTCTTCGTGTCGCCCAGCGACAATTTGTGCTTCCACGACAAATGTTCCTACTATTGCGACACGTCGCACGCCATCTGCGGGAATCCCGACGAACTTGAAGGGAGTTTCGCGGCTTTCCTGCCCTCCAGCAAAATCGCGCCCATAAAGGTGAGTGTTTGTCGAAATTTCGTCTTTTATCTTGAAATCCACACTTTCATCTTATGATTTCGACTTTCATCTCGCAATTTCGACTATTATCTCGAAATTCCAACTTCTATCTCGGGATTTCGACTTTTCTCCCAAAATTTCTACTCTTTTTTTTTTTTTCAGAATTTCAGCTTTCATCTCAAAATTTTGACTTTTATCTCCTGTATCTCCAAATCGCGACTGATTTGTCAAAATTTCCACTTTCATCTCGAAATTTTGACTTTTTGCCGAAATTCTGACTTTTATTTCAAAATTTCGACTTTTTTCCCAAAATTCACACTTCTTGAAATTCCGACTTTTTTTCGGAATTCTGAGCTTGAACTGGAAATTACGACTATTCTATGACTATGACTTTTTGCCGAAATTCTGACTTTTATTTCAAAATTTCGACTTTTTTCCCAAAATTCACACTTCTTGAAATTCCGACTTTTTTTCGGAATTCTGAGCTTGAACTGGAAATTACGACTATTATCTCGGAATTTCGACTCTCTTCTCGAAATTCCAGCTTTCATCTCCGAATTTCCACTATTATCCCGAAATTTCGACATTTATTTCAAAATGTCAACTCGTTTCTCGAAATCTTGATTTTGATTCAAAAAGTTGACTATATCCCAAAATTCTTTCTTTCATCTCGGAGTTTAGACTTTCATCTCGAACTTCTGACTTTTATCTCGATAATTCGACTTTTATTTCAATATGCTGACTTGTTTCTCGAGATTTTGGCTTCAATTCCGATATTTCGACTGACATCTCGTAATGTCGACTTTCATCTCAAAATTTCGACTCATATATCGAAAATTGTTTACATTTATCACAAAGTTCAGTCTTTTATATCACAAAATTTCCACTTTTATCTCAAAATTTTGACTCTTTTCTCGAAATTTTTACATTTGTCGCGATTACGGCTTGTGCTATTTCAACTTTTATATCAAAATTACGACATTCATCTCGAAATTCTGACTTTCATCTCAAAATTCCTTCTTTCATCCCGAAACTCCGACCTTCAACTCGACTTTTCAACTTTTAACTCGAAATCTCGACTTTCTTCGCGAAATTCTAGCTCTCATCTTGGAATTTTCACTTTCTTCTCAAAATTTCGACATTTATTTCGAAATATCAACTTGTTTCTCAAAATTCTCATTCTGATTTAGAAATTTTGAATATTATCCCAGAATGTCCACTTTCACCACGAAATTTCAACTTTTATCTCGAAATTCCGACCATTTCCCCAAGATTTCGATTTCTATCCCGAAATTTCCGCTTTCATCACACAAGTTCGTTTTCCATCCCAAAATCCTCAATTTTTTGTCGAAATTCCGACATTTTTCTTTGAGTTCCGGTTTTTATCTCGGAATTTCTACTTTTTTCTCGAAATTTCGACTTTTATCTTGAAATTTTCCCTTTTTTTCTCCAAATTTCGAGATGAAAGCTGAAAAGGCGGACGGTGACCTCCTCAACACGTTCTTCTCGTCGCCCAGCGACAATTTGTGCTCCCACGCCAAATGTTTCTATTATTGCGACACGTCGCACGCCATCTGCGGGAA